CTGATGTAAAGAGGCTCCGAAGTACGTTTCCCTTTGAGACTGTTTTGGGATTGATCCGAGAAGATTCCTCGGCAGATGATCGTCTCGATAGAGTACCGTAGCTCTCAACTTTTCACTCTCGCCGTGTTTTTCGTCATCTGTCGCGGGCGTCATGTCAACTTGAGTGAGGCCTAGGTGTTGGTGATGGAACGCAGGTCGGCCGCCTTCGGACGACTTTCACGGAGCTATACCCCTATCATCACCCCCCCAGATTGCGCTGTAAATGCGTATGGGAAAGTGAGATTACAGGTTTGGAGCGCATGTTGCCCGTGTTCGATGATGCTGGTCTGATCATCCTGCTGACCACAATTGCCATCCATGGTACCTTTCTCATATATCCATGGCGGCTGACTGCCACTGTATCGGCACCCACTGTGTAGCTGAGCCAGAACAAGTGGTACTGGTTGGTTGGCATAGACGACACTCGGTGGAGGAGGATGGAGCGGGAGAAACAATGCCATGACGGCGTTTTTGACGTCTTCACCTCGTCCCTCGAGTAGCTCTCCTGCACCGTCCTTTTCAAGCGCTTCCAGAGCCTTGACATCAGTTCGGAATACAAAGCGGTTGATAGCCTGGACAAAGTTCTCCTTGAGCTCCTCCAACTGCTGCTCCCTCTCAGCATACTCACAAGTGCTGGCGGATACATCAACGGAGTAGACGTCCTTGTGGTACTCGACAAGCGCGTCGATGGTCTTGTCTGTAAGCTTGAATGCCATGTCATGCTCTGAAACCATGTCGACAAGTACGACGTAGGCCTCTATGTGGATTAGCTGATAGTTGAAGAGTGCTTCTACCAGTGGGTTGGGGTCCTTGCGCAGTTCCGAATCCGGGGCTTTTGGCACCATGATAGAACACAGCGACCATATGGCGCTGGACTGCGAAAGAATATCTTTGAAGAACTTTGTGCGTTGCCGAACGTTGTTCAACGGACAGCGGCCTTGTTTTGCTCCCTTGAGTGTCTGCTCCAACCATGGCTGGACCTCGGAGGCTAGTACGACAGAGGCTCTTGATCGGGGCTTAAAAGGCGCAGCCGAAGCAGGTAGTAATACGGTCGACATTGCGTGCGGGCGACGCACGAGACGGTGCGATATTGGACGCGACGTTGGACCAAAGAGTTGGAGAAAAGAAAGAACAGAGGATCGGAGAGAACGTCGTCTTCAGCGGATACTACTCGGACGAGAGACTCTTTAGAATGCGAAGTAGAGACAGCGAAGTTTGGAGAAACGAGGCGGAGAGATGGCCGGGCAGGAGGGAAGGGTGAGAAAAGGCAGGTGGTGATAACGGATGGGGTTTCTCACGAGCCTATAAGCGATGACATTGCAAAGTAAATGCACAACTCATGCTGCTCCATCCTTAAATATCAGCGAGTATCTCGGCATCGCTGAGGACGTGATTCAACCAAGTTAGATCCTCACGACTCCTTTGAGACCCACCCATCGCGAAGAGATAGCCCCAGGCGCCGAGCAGCTGCTGTGTGATAGTCGATGCGCACCGCCAACAGAGGCGCGCGGTTCACCCCACTTGATCTCATCGCACTGGCCATTGTGCTTGGGTTCCTGCGTTTTAGCGTTCTGCTCTCCATCATCATAGCGTGCAGGGGAATCCTTGGACGCTGATACCTCGTTCAGTCAAGCTTCAACAGCACGACAATGCTGCTTTCGCTTAGCAGTGCTGGGCCAGCGCTTGGTCAA